ATTTGCATATCAAGACGGCAAGGTTCAGGTAGCGCTGCGTATGGAGCTCCAGTCAAAAAATGAGCTGGCGTCAGCGGATCCAACGAAGTATCCCCATTGTGGCACAGTGCGCGGGAATTCAGAATGGCTTCAATTTGAGTCAGTACAGTAGATAGGTTCTCGAAGATTAGGGCCTTCGATTCAAGAATCCGTCGCATATGAAGTTTGATGGAGCAGACTCCGGCTTCCCACATCCCTCCGAAATGGGGAGCAGAAGGAGGTATAAAGTGCCAAGAAATGCCTTCATTGGCGAAAAATCCAGCTAATTCTCCATCCTTTGCTTGCTCGATGGCCAGGCGTCTCATGTTGTCTAGGGTCTGCCTGCCGCCATGAAATGTGGTTCCGTTGTCCGAATAAAGGTCTGTGGGCCTCGCTCGGCGGACAATGAATCGTTGAAAGGCGGCGATGAAGGCCTTTGTTGTCAGATCACTGACAAGCTCGATGTGGAGTGCCTTTGTAGTGAGGCACACAAAAATAGCGAACCATGCTTTTCCGATCCGTGGAGTTCGTCCCTTGGATTCCATGATTGCGATCGGCCCAGCATAGTCTAGCCCTGCATGTTGAAAACAGTGACTAGCTTGCACTCTAGGTATTGGTAGTTCTCCCATGATCTGTTGACTGGTGCCTTTGCGTTGTAGGAAGCAGCGCTTACAAAGGAAAACAGCTCTTCTGACGAGATTTCGAGCACCCAGAATCCAGTACTGCTGACGAAAATTCGTAACGTTGCATCAACTCCCGTGTGCAGATTGGAGATATGAAAATGTCGAACAAGTATTCCAGCTAGTGGTGTCTCCTTTGGTATTAGGATTGGGTGTTTAGCATTGTAGTTTAATGTAGACTGCTCGATTCTTCCACCGACTCGCATTATCCCATTTTCACCTAGAAATGGGGAGAACCCCATATTTTCTGCCAAAGAATTTTTGTTGCACATGTCGAAAGAGTCGTAGTCGTGCTTCCAGCAGCTCTTTGGACGTAAGGAATGGTGAAGAATTCCTATGATGAGATCGAAGAGTTTGAATAAAGCGATAACAATAACTAGATACCCTTATTAGACGCGTCCAGGTAGAGAATTTGTGGATAAGTAACTCGTTAAAACTTTCATCAAGAAAGGTTTGCAGAGTCGTAGGTTTTATAGCTCGTTTTTCGGCGTTGACATCGAAATTTGAAGATACGCTGAACTTGCTTGTGGAAGGTGGCCAATCCGAAGTCGGTGCGGCCAACCAAGACGGACCTTTCCACCACAGCCGGTGCTCCAGAAGCTTTGACGCATGAAGTCCTCGAGAGGCACAGTCAGCTGGATTGTCTTCAGTCCGGACATGATTCCAGCAGTTACGGGGAAAGTCGTTCAGGATCTCTGCTGTCCGGTTGCAGACGTATGTGTTCCAATGTCGTGGTGGAGCTGATAGCCAATGTAGCACAATTTCTGAATCAGTCCAGCAGCTAGTGCTGAAAATAGGAATTGTTAGTGATGTTTTGACAACAGTAAGCAATCGGGAAAGAAGTAGTGCAGCATTCAGTTCCAAACGTGGTACCGAGACTGGCTTGATCGGGGCCACCCGTGTTTTGGCGGCAAGAAGGGATATTTGAAAACTGCCTCCAACTGCAACCCGAGTGTAGACAACGGCACCGTAGGCGTGCGTGGATGCATCTGCGAATCCGTGTAGTTCTACGTCTCGGAATGGTGAAGCTAAATATCGTGGTACTTGACACTGCGTAAGCGATGGCAGATCCTCCACTAAGGCTTTCCAGCTCGAGCGTAAGGTTGCAGGAATTGGCTCATCCCAGTGTAGTACACTTGTCCAGCTTTCTTGAAATATAAGCTTGAGTAAAACTGTGACCGGCGCTATACGTCCAAGCGGATCATAGATTCTCGATAGTTGCGACAAGAGTTCCCGTTTTGTAGGTGAAATAGTCGTATCGCATTCCTTGAGATTGAGATACATGACGTCCCTTCCGGTATTCCATTGGATAGCAAGAATTTTTACATGTAAGTCCGCAGCAGATTTGTTAAGGAGCTGGATAGGCTGAAAACACCTATCTTCTTCTGGCAATGATTTTAGAAGACGCCAACTATTGGAACTCCATTTCCGTAGTTTGAATTGCCCCTTTTCCAAAAGTCCAATTAGCTCGTTCTTTAGATTCATAAGTTCCCCAATTGAGTTGCATCCCGTTAGGATATCATCCACATAGGCATCGTGTTGGAGGGCATGGGCAGCTGCAGGGAACTCTTGGCGGTGATCGTCAGCTAATTGTTTCAGAACTCGAACGGCCAGAAATGGGGACGGTGGGAATTCATAAGTTACCGTCAAAAGGCGAAAATGACGTAGCGGCTCATTCTCGTTCTTTCGCCAAACAATGCGCTGAAAATTGGTGTGCGGCTTATATACGTGAATCCCTCGGAACATCTTTTCGATATCTGCACATAGAACATATTAGTGCTGACGGAAACGTAAATTAAGGGATAGTCCACGGCTGTTCTTTCCCGATCCATCGAAAACTACACGACATTTGGTAGTCAAACTGTCAAGTTTGATAACAGCGTGGTGCGGTAGGTAGAAGCAACCGTCCGGGGACTCGTCCACTTGAGCTGATGTTAGTTGTTCCATATGTCCATGTTTTAAATAGTCGTCTAGGAACGCTTCGTACTGCTGCTTCAATTCCGGAGACCGACGAAATTTGCGTTCTAGCGAGAAGAAGCGATTAATAGCCTGCGGCGAAGTGAAGCCAATAGGCGGTGCCTTCTCCTTGAAGGGGTACTGAACGATGTAAGCCCCGCTCTCAGAACGCGTATGTGTGGCAGCAAAATGCCGCTCGGTGGGATCGTTGGCGTTCAGGAGAGCCTGGCTTGGCTGTATACTGTCCATTTCCATGAATGAGCGAACCATCGTATCTAAGTCCGCGTGGTGTGTCACGGCAGAAGTCAGGTGATCATCGCATGCAATGTACGAGCCTGCAATAATCCAACCAAAAACAGTATTCAGACCAATAGGAAAGTCGTTACCAAAATATTTGCGTTCTCCAGTATAAAAAAACCACAGCTGATCTGATCCAACGATGACATCGATGGATCCTGGCGTGCAGAAGGTTGGGTCTGCCAAAGGAAGCTTGCAAATGTGCTTCCACGTAGAAGATGAGGTGTCAATAGCTTGGGCTGGAAGTGATGACGTCAACGAGCTGAGAATGAATGAGACCAATTCGATAGTTTGGTCCGAATGGCGAGAGCGCAACTTGATATGTGCGCGTCCTCGGGTAACGCCCGCGCTGTTGGCGGCTAGACCGAGTACAGAAATCTTGCGTGCGAAGCCACGGTAATTGTAGATCCAGTGTCCAGGAGCATCCTGCAAGTTGTAGTGTTTCCCCAAGCGTCGACAACGTCTGCGTGGATGGTTGGCAATAGAGTGTGCGAAGAGTGTGCAGGAATATTCTCCAGAGTATAATGAGTGAAATTGGTTTCCAGTTGATTATGGCCAATTGTAGATTCCTGCTGTGATGTTCGCTCATGGCTGTCCACATTGGCTAGCGCAACGTAGTTACCATTTTGACTTGGCCGTGACGAGCCATGAACCAAAGTATGATGCTTGCGGCGGCAGATCCAACAAGTATGCTTTGAGGTACAGTTTCCCACCATGTGAGTGGGGCTGAGGCAATTGAAACAGAGCTTCTTCGACTTGAGGAACTCCCGGCGAGATGCAATGTCAAGGGCACTGAGCCCAAGCATTGCGGGACTCCGAATCCAACTTTGACAATAATATGAAGATTAGCCAGGGATCCCGTTCCTCGCAGTTAAGAGCGCGTAAGCCACGAATAACTTCATCTGCACCATCGGCAAGTTTACGCACTGTACTAATGTTAGAGGTTGTAGCACTGGAGAGCGTCATAAAACTGTTTAGAAATGATCGGATAATTAGCGATTGTTTGTTATATCGCTGTTCCAGGCGATCCCATGCTTCACGATAGTTTTCATTAGTAACCGTAATATGTTTAACTAATGTCAGCGCGTCTCTGGAAATAAAATAATGAAATCGTTGGCAATCCGTCAGGCTCGGATTGCAAGCGATTGATCCAGTAAACATATCCGAAAAATGTTTCCAGTCCTCATAGTTACCGGAAAATGTTGGGAGTTTGATTCGCTCGAACTGAAAATCCACCTGGCTTCTTTGAGACGCATCCGCTGCTTGGACAGTGGCCGAAATACTGGTTTGAGATGGGAGATCACGTCGTAATTCCTCCAAAGTGTTGCTCAAAATGGCGTGTGTAGCGTAGTGTTTTTCCTCATAGGCATCAAAATCGGCGTCGGGGTTTTCCCAATCTGGTTCCGACTGAAACGCATACAGCTCCTCCGAGAGCCGCACAACCCGCATATAATTGTCTTGCAGTTGCACCAGGCGAACCTCTATAGTTTGCACTGAATGTATGTCATCGACAAATTTGACTGCGTAGTTATGTGCCCGAGTAATTTGGCTTTTGCAGAAGCCCCGTTCTTGAATCACACTCCGCATCGTGATCGAGATAAGAAATATCTAGATTGCCGTTTACAAAAAAACAATAATCAAATCAAATATCCAAAAAAATAACGCTTTACTGGTGAATCCGGCTCGAAGGACCAATTTTTTAATGTTTATAAACGAATTCACTAGTGTTACTGTTTTATATATTTATTGGTTAATTTTCAATACCCGATTTGATTACGACGACCGCGAAGCGTTTGATTGCATTGAGAGCAAAAGTGTATCATACGATAAGTTTAGTCGAAGATGTAAACAAGTTACAGTTAGGAGTTAGAAGTTATGGAAAAGTACTAGATAAGCTCTATAGCAAGTGCAGCGGCGGGAAGCTCGAATTGATTCCGCTGATAAGCGGCGGACAAAGCCAGTAAACAAAAACAAATATACAGGGTGTCTCGTTCCCAAACACGTATGTTATTTATAATTGTTTTAAATTTTACAGTTGATTCTAGGACCGCCGGTGGAAAGCAGAGGTGGATACACGAAATCAAGCTCGTGCTCATAGACATAGGGCAAGAAAGCATAGAGCAGTTGCGGAGAGCCCGCAAGAACACCCATGTTTACATGTAGATGGCCTAGTCCATAATGGCGACTGGGCATGATGTGTCCTGGAAGGATTTCAGGACAAAAATTTAAAATCTGACAAGGAAGTACTGTCAACTATAAGTGTCAGAATATATTGTAAATTTATTCCTTGAAATTATTATTCTTTGCAGAAATGAGAAGAATAAAATGGGGACAAGAGGCCATTTGTGTAACAGCATTTTGAAACGCCTCACAGCTTTCTCGGCTCATTCAGGGTTGACATTATTGATATTGATATTGAGAATGCTTTGGACAGCGAGAGTATGTTCCCAGAGACCGATTTCTTTTGTTTAAATTCCATTAATAATATGTTCTTATTGCAGATACTACAGAATACTTCTTGAAGGACGTGGAGTTTGACCCTGAAAATGCAAAAAACTGCAGCCGAACTCAGCGTACTGCCAATTTGCCCCCTACAAAGCGCGCAAAGATGGCCCACAAGGACGAGATGCTGGCGATTGCTAACGGAACAACCTACGCAGACTGAATATTAGCTAAAAAACCATAAGACCAAAATAGTTTTCAATCACAACTCTTACAGTTTTTAAGGGAGTCTATAAAATATAACAATTATAAAATAAGTGGGCTAATTACAACTAGGTTTGAATATATCAATATAATTGGTTTAAATAAATGACTTGAAGTATAAAATAATTGGGATTGCCAATGAAATGAAATAAATAAATGAAAAAGATATGTTATTTTTATAACATTTATTTGCTAAAATTAAGGCAATGCTAAGGCATTGCTGATCTCATTTTTTCTGAAGGTTTGCTTAAAACTGCAGACATGTTAGTGCAATTCGGCTGTTGCTGTAGGTTACTGGCAGCCAGTCATCTAGTTTTCTTATACATCGTTGACAATTTTTTCTGTCTATTCTATGCCAAAAATAATTTTACTTGGAATTTGCTTAATATAGCAGTGTTGCGTATTATTGAATTCATGTTCTACTTTATCTATAATAGTGTCCTAATATATATCTATCAGTTTCGATATCATTGGTCCTAAACTCCTGATAACTCTTTCGACCTGTCCATTAGCCTGCGGTGATCCGGTCGCTATCTTCGTATGCTTAATTTCAAACTCTGAAAAATAATCGAACTCTGGAAGTGTAATAACTTCCCCTATCTAAAAGTGCTCTAAAATATTATAATAACTTCATTTGTATTAGTGGTTTTGTGGTACATACATATAAAAGCGTACGAATTTTTTGAAACCAGCGATAACTACAAAAAATATGTTTTTTCACTCTATCTGAGTCGACTGGACCATAATGATCAATATGAATTAGTTCGAACGGTTTGCTCCACTTCGGAATTCAATGTAGAAAACGTTCCTCGCCTATTTTCGGGGAAAATGTTACACCTTTTAAACAATTATCAATATGGCTCAAACATTTGTCGTTAGCGGTAGGCAATCAATGAGTTTTTTAATATCGAAAATTTTCTCTACCTATGTTCCCGATTTCATAGTGATATTTATACGAAATATGCCCTACCATGTGCGTTGGAAGGTAAAATATTAGTCTACCATCGTTACATTTTCTATAGATTATTCCGTTTCTCATCTCAAAAAATGCATGCTCGTTTTCCTCTAACAGTTTTTTAATATTTTGAACTTTTGGATTCTTGACTTGACAGATTAATAAATTATCTTTAAACGTATTTGAATATACTATTAATATATTCGTGCATGCTGCATTCTTTTACCTGCTCTATGGACGAGTTCTTAGTCGTAATTCTGGAGCTCTAACGCCCACCTGGCTATTCGCGGATTAAGCTCAATCTTATTTGTTAAAGTTAAAGTTTCCCGCATAAAAAAGAATACAAGCCCAGGAAATATTGTACAAATTATGTTCTTATCATGCGCTTTTATGCATGTGTCATTTATAATAAATCCCAAATATTTAGTCTAAAGGAACACACACCGCACTTCCTCTTTGGCTTGAAGCACTATTTACCCAATAGCCATTTGACATTGCAATTGGCGTAGATCCTTATTGGCTGGAGTTGTTAGGTGCTTTGAAACAATGCATTCAGTTTTGCGCTCCGGCAAGCGGACTTCTGAAAAATAACTTTAGAAACTGCTTCGGCTCGGAGAAGCATTTTATGCGAGCCGCAGCGGTGGTGCTAGGATTTCCTGGATAATGTTTTCCAGGAGTTCGTCAACATCGATGATTATGCCGTTTACTAGCATGATTTTGTCATCAAAATAGGAATCAAACTTCTCTTCTGCACGCCATTGACTCTTGTGGAATTTGCTCCTTAACTCTCCTTTGGAAATTTTTGTCGCGAATGCCACGATTAACTGCTCACAAAGGTGATCGGTGGACTCCAATATGCGCGTGGCGTTTGCGTGAAGCCAACGCTAAGCATATCCTTTCAGCTTGGTAATTAGAAGGATGTGCATGCATCCGTCCTCTAAGTTATAGGCTCTTCCGATGTTCTGAAGCTGTGTGACCCAGCTACGTGCTGCATGTACTCCATAGTTACTTATTTTGGCAGATCAACCGATTCTGCTGGTAATTCTAAAAGTTTGTTTACTTTAGTGACGTAACGTTCATTAACACTGAAAACGGTATCGGTAATATCGATTAACAGCGTCGCGGTTAGCGACGGAGTTGCTGGAGTTTCCGATGCTTCCCTCGATGACGTCATGGGCTTGGTGAACATCCATTGATATGTTCTTGTTTGCATCGTTGATTGCTATATGAATCCATGAAGCCATGCTAGCATCTATCTTGTCTCTAATGCATCAAGCTGCTGTCGTCCGGGGTTTTCAACGCAGTCGATTGCAGATCGTGCAAAGCAACCTGCGCATCTTCCGCCAGCGGCTCTTGCTGCGCCAATAATGATGTGACTTCATCCGCCTTCTCTGCGTCGAATTTGCTGACTTGCTGCCTATCCTTCTAGCTAGTTGATGCTCCAGTTGGAAGGTCCCCACGCGTCTCCGGCGAAATAGCTTGTAATCGTTCTATTAGCTCCTCTTTAGAGCCCAGCGCAGCCAACCATTTTTTTAGTTGAGCTAACGAAAACTGGACTTATTCCGTGTCAGGCATCGTGAATAAGAACACTTCTGATGTTATATATTATTCTAATAGGGCTTTGATATTGTGCCTCTTTAATACATTGGGCTTCGTAACTTAATATCTGTTATGGTGTTATTAAGGGGAAGATCATTTACCTGTAATCCACTGGAACGAATAGAACACTTAAGACCGAATAACCGTCCTACGACGGGATACTCCAAGGATGACCCCAATTTGTATAAGGCGATATCAGTTCTCTTTCTCGCAGTTTATCTGAGGCGCAGTAATCTGAGGTTTTGCTGCTGTACAAAAAAGTTGCTAAATATTTCATTTTTAAGTAGTACAAGCTAATTTAACGAGCTTTGTTGTTTTCGTTTTAAAGAGACACAACTGTTCGATCAGCTGTTATCGGACGGAGGACTGAGGTGTTCTGTGGAAATTGTAGTTTCACATCTGCGAAAAATCCCAACTGTTTCACACGGATGGACTGTGTGAAGGCAGTATTAAGTAAAAACTGATAAATTGAATTTCTAATTGGGTTAAGATACCATAAAAATGGTATATAGATACCATAAATAAACTTGATAAAATTATAGTTATTTTTTATGATACTGCATTTCTTAGCTATATCGGCCAAATCGGCCAATGTGCAATGACGCGAAATGCTTACGAAAATATTGTAAAATTAGCTTTACAGCTAAAATTCGTTATATACATTTTCCCAGAGTAATGAAATAACGTTTCTAAAACCTGTCTCGGTAAAAACGTGCCAATAAGAGGCGGCATTGATTTCATACATATTTTTTTTTTTTTTTTTTTTTTTTTAACATCTTGGACGTTGATGCACTAAGGTCAGTACATACAAGTGGCCCGTATGACACCAGGCACGTGCCTGTTTGGGTTAGGTGTTAGTAGGCGCGATGGAAAATATAGGACAGAATACGAGGAAAATTGACTACCGGCGTGCTGCCAGATTGTTAGCTTGCATGCTTACTAAGTATGTTAATATCAAAGATTTTAATTTTGGAAGGGAATCTACGTTAGAGATTAGTGTGTACAAATCATTATAATTTGCACATAACACTCTAAAAGGTTCATGCAGTTCAAAGGAGGTCCTACAGTGGCGCAACACTAATGGGATATAGGATCTAGTGGTTCTACATGGTACATGGAAATTAAGCTGACCCAACAAGTCAGCACTTTCCACATCACCATGGATAAGGTTAAAAATAAAGGTTATCCCTAGCATCGTTCTACGATTGGCTAAGGACGGCAAGTTTATTAATAGGAGTCTACTAGAGTAGGAAGGTAATCTTTGGTTTGCATCCCAATTTAAACCGCGTAGAGCGAAAAGTAAAAAGTTCTTTTGAACCGACTTAATGCGTTTACTATGGACGCCGTACTGAGGGCTCCAAACGCAGCATCCATATTCTAGGATAGGACGAACTAAGGAAGTATATAAGGATTTAGTAACATAGGGGTCATTGAATTCCTTCGACCACCGTTTAATAAATCCAAGCACACCCCTGGCCCTATTCACCATAGACGAAATATGATCAATAAAGTCAAGTTTTGGGTCCAAGCGGACGCCCAAATCGTCAACTGTATTAATTCTTTCCAAAGAGCAGCCGTTCAGCGTGTAAGTAGCAAGCTTAGGAGCGACACGAGAGAATGTCATTAGCTTGCATTTCGAGCCATTTAAGTTTAATAAGTTTACACGGCACCAAGTTTGAAAATTATTAAGATCTGTTTGTAAATCCGACTGGCAGGCAACGTCATTGTATTGCACGCAAAGCTTGACGTCATCCGCGTACATAAGTACTCTGGAGTTAGTCAAGACTTTGGGCAGGTCATTTATGAACAATGTAAACAATAAGGGTCCCAAATGGCTTCCTTGCGGGACACCAGATGTAACCCTTAGAATATTGGATAAATTATTCTTAAAGAGGACCTTTTGCGTCCTGCCATTCAAATAACTAGAGATCCAATTAAGAAGATCACTTGGAAAACCCATTGAATCGAGTTTTCTAACGAGGAGAGAATGATTAACAGAGTCAAATGCTTTACTGAAATCAGTATAGATTACATCTGTCTGACAATTATTATGGAAGCCCTTTATTCATCCATCAGCCCAATGGACCATTTGGGATCGAAATCGAAAGGGATTTAACATGTTCCACGGCAGTTTCCAATAATAGTTTATTTAAAGTTAGTTTCCAATCGGTGATAATATTGGTTGCGTTCAGCAAAACAACATGATCACATATCAGGGAATGATTTCTATTGATAGTTCTACTGATCGCGTATGACACTGATCATTATGCATGATTTTATCCATCATGATAAGCAAAAAAGTAGCGAAAAAAAAGTACCCTGCATTTTCACAATGCTGATGGTTGAAATATTGATAAGGGTAAAACAAAACCTAGGCATGCAAAAAAGACAACAAAAATTAGTAATGAAATCTGCGTCATTCTTAGTTATTCCTTAATAATTAGTTATCAGTTTTTAAGTAGTAAGCATTTCCTCATTTGGAATTTAGTTTTTTTGTAGCCACTAATGCGGAGTGCAGTGCTGTAATTGTGCGAAAAATATTGGACAAATCGTCTTTTTAAGAAAAGGAGAAGCCACATTAACTAACATATTATAAAGTTCCTGGTGAAAAACTATTCCTTGGTCAATTAAAGGAATATTTTAGAATGTCTCTTGTTCTGTCCCTTTGAAGGACCTGCGTGGCATTTGGGCTGGCACCGGCCAGCTCTTTCTTCGGGGCGTAGATCCCTTAACCCTGCCCGCCCCGCACAACACTGTACACCGTGCGGTTTATTTCAAACTCGCGGAAACAAAGACAACATTCTATACAATCTCTCACACACGCATAGTCGACTTGGCCATGCTCACGAACACATTTTTATTGCAACTCACACAAACACTCCTACCCAGTCGGACTTTTTAGCCAAATTCCTCCTGACTTTCATGCAAATGCGTTCGGTGGGTAGGAGCCACCGTTTACTCAGTCGGACTTTTTAGCCAAATTCCTCCTGACTTTCATGCGAACACGTTCGGTGGGTAGGAGCCACCGTTTATGTACAGTCCATTCGCTTTTATTCATGCATGGTCGGGGTAATTCATGATGCCGACGTCGCTGCTCGACTCATGATGAAAATTATTCAGAGCGGTCAGTGAGATAATTCATGGTGCCGCGATCACTACTCGGCTCATGATGAAATTGTTACATTTAAATTATTAATTGTAGTAAATCATTTTCAACCATACAAACAAACTTTTTTAGAATATTATACGACCAACTTGGGATTGAACCTACATATTAATATTTAACAGTCCGGTCGTTTACACATCGCGCTACGTAGCAACTAAAATTACGTCGGCAATATACACACATGTGCATATCCCGTGTGAGAGGGACAAAATCCTGCAACCCTTTGAGGACTTTTATTTTTTGCTTGATATTTGACTTTGCTGTCGCGAGGCGATCGTGACGATCGCTCGAGGCAAACTTTTTCTTACTTTGTTTTTTATTTGTTAATTCAAGGCATTTCCTTTTAAAAATTGTTGTTCTTGTTAAAGATTGGCCAACAAAATTATAATAAATCAATAAATGTGGTTAAATAAGATACCAAAATTATGGTATATAACAAGTACACAAACTCTCGAAAATATAATATTAAGTTCATATTAATAGAATTATATTCTCTAGATATTTTCCGATTTTCATTTATTCTAGGTAATAATAATAATAATAATTGCGGGGATTTTTTTTTTTTTGTATGCGCACTTCGTGTTAAAAAATATATCCCGAAAGGGAAATACTTCAGCACAGAATTTTATGTTAAACGGGGCAGTGTTCGATTCAGGTACTGAATGCAGCGATTGCCACTTTGCTGAACTGGGGACCATGCATAAGGCCTTTCCTGCTCGACATAGTAGTCGGACTTTGCTGATAATTGGATAAATAACAACAAAAAATATAGATAAATAAATATATAATAAATAATGAAAAATATTGTTTAAAATATGCAATAAATAGGTAATAAAAAGAAAAATATACCATATAAAAATTGTGACAATTACAAAAAAAAAACATTAAATGAATAAATCGTTACAAAGTATGAAGTCCCCCGTCGCCGAGATTCAGAATTATGTTTGAGTTTTTCGGGTCTTAAATAAAATTTCACCAAGCAGAATCAAAAATGGGCATGTCCAATTTTGTGAGCAGGCCAGAATTATCCCTCCGAGGGCTGGCTTCGGTTCAGACCGCAACCACTAACCTCTTGCGTTTACTCGTTCTGGCTTCTCTCCTCGCTGATCCTCTCCAAACGTCAAATCCGACTCCTCCGAATTCCGCCAATTTTATTTTACGATTCTCCACTTATTTTGTGTTGGGCGCATGCGCACAGAGATATTTAATTGTTTTCTATTTTAAAATTTTGTTATGTGCTCTTCGTCAGAGAAAAACATTCGAGAGTTTCCTATCGCTAGTCATTTAAATTATTTTAATATAGTGCCAACATAATAAACTGGAATCTGCATGTTTTCTTTTGTTAAACAGCTTATTATGCAGAAGCTTTTTTCCAGAGTTGTTTATTTTATGTTCGATTAGGTGTTATCGGATGGATGTGTAGCTTTGTGGGAATCAAAGTTTCACATCTGCAAGAAATCCCATCCCAATCCATTGGATGAATGGATTTAAGCAGTGACAGAAAGTGAGCGGCAAATAATTTAGAACGGCTGCTTGTGAGGCCGTATGGAGACCCGAAATCAAAATACTAGAAAATGGCATGGGGTACGAGAAAGAAAAATAAATGAATAATAATTATAAAACAACCTGTTCTCTGGTATTTGCCGATTGCCCACTTGCAGATTCTTTCTTTTTAAGCATGGAAAAAAATGTCCGAAAAAAAAAAAAATAAAGAAGTTCAGAAGTGCTAATACAGTTTATATAATAAAGTTGTTAAAAAATGTTCATTTACGTATGTAACTGCATTGGTTTAAGTTGCTGTTTTGTATATAACAACTGCTTTCAGCTGCTGATATGCTCCCCATATGTAAGAAACGCACCATTTTATCATAATCATGAATATAGAGGAACCAACATAAGTTACATATATTTATTTCACTTATATTTGTGTGTACGATTTTTATTAAACTTGTCTTAAGAACATCATCGGACACTTCATGTGTATATACGAATTCTGAAATATTACATCTATTTGTTCTCTAAATATAAATTTGAACCATACATATGTATATACATATATATATAAATCTATTTTTTTTAATTTATTATATATACGTGTAATTAATTTCAATTCGAAGGCTTATTCTTAGGGAGGTGTCTTCAATTGGATGAGATGTTGGCGTTCTTTTTTCATCAAATTCGTTGCAATTTTATCTGATTTTATTTCGTTTAATTTATAGAATAATAATTGTGTCAGGTCTGTAAAATTTAAATAAAAGTAAAAAACGAAGCACAACTGTAAAATTATAATTTAAAAGGACGTAATTCCACACTATGCCACAATAAAAGTATGTAAATTATAATAATGAAATATAAAACGTTAGTTCACAAATAAAAATTTTGAAGCTTTCTCTTTCTAACCCCGTGCAAGATACATACATATGTATGTACATACTAAAAATTATACTATACTAAAATTATATACATATGTACATACATACATACATATGTATATAATTTTAGTTTGAAGTTTACAAAGCAGTGCATCAGTCCGACACCTTTAAAGTACATATATAAATACATACATATGTATTTATGTACTGGTGTGTTCTATATGTTCCTTTGTCATTTTTTTATCAATTCATTTTAATTGCAAACTGCAAGAGTGTAGCTTTTTTTATTTATTTTTTCGCTGTTTTCATATTATTTTTAGGTTTGGATAAAAGCTTGCAGCCAATGATTTCGCAGCCGATGACAAGTACGATGATGATGATGATATGGGTACTATAAGACTTTTGCCAATTATAACATCTACATCCTTACTTACTCCCATACTTTTCCCTCTATTCAAACTTAGATATTTTAATGAACAGGGCATAATAGTTGGACTATGAACTGGTGGGAAATCGTTGCTATTATTTGCAGCATCTTCTTTTGCTACTGAATGTGCTTTTGACAATATATCTGGAGACAAATTTATGATTGACGATCACTGAAGACGCGGCCAGTAATTACTTCCCGTTAAATCAGACACATTTTGCGTTGAAATTTGTACGGGGACTGAAACGCCGGCAGAAATGACACCTGTAAAAATGTGTACTTAATTAATTTAACCTCGAGAATTAAATTTAATCATGTTGATACCTGTATTTGATGATGGCATTGCAGAGCTGTTGCCATAAACCCCATGCTGCGGTGGCTGTTGATGCGCCGCGGCAGGATTACAACTGGTATTTCGGTGGTGGGCAGGAGCATATGGGGATCCGAGGGATAAGGGATCGTGAAACATATAGGGATAGGCATCTCGTTGTTGCAAACAGGTTGGCGTCATCGAGCTTAATGATGAACTGTAAAAATATGTATGTTTAGTCAAAGAAAGATTATAAAATAAAAGTAGCACTATTTTTTCACAAGAAAGAAGGGAATCTACCCATTACGTCAAATGAAAAAAAAACCTACAGGAAATAAAATATATAAAACATTTATTTTTAAAAATACCAAACTTTTGCTGAATTTCCTATATTCTCATATTACTAAGCAACTAACTATAAGATATTTCATAACAAGCAATCCGATTTTCATAAAAATAATTATTATTTTTTGTTTTATATCTATCAATAACTATTAAAATCTGAGTTTGTATGAGACATATGTATGTATGTGATTCTAGTAAGGAAGCAAACTTCAACACGCAGAACTTTTTATAGCCATAGAGATTAATAATAATAATTAATTAATTAATAAGATTAATACAATTTAAATTTTATATATAAATGTTAATCAAAACGGATAACTTCAGCACGCCGAAGTTTGTATACCCTTGCAGATTTAAATTCGATCTCTAGGAATTAATGATTAAAACTCACTTGTAATTTTCTGCCATTGTTGCTATAGGTTGCGGAATAGATGAGTACATGGCATTAAATCCAGAATTCAAAGGTATCCGTGGTGTTACCGCCTGAAGTGGTGGGCTTTCAGATGTCGTATGCGTATTAGCGTCACCCCAAGAACCTATTAAATATAGTTTTATATACATATATCTAAATATTCTATGTGTATATTCTTACGGTTGGTGCACTTGTTGTAGTCTCGGAAAGGTTATTGCTAATTATTGCAGACGATGATGAACGCTCCGAACTGTTGACGGCTAAGCTAACAATACCGGATGGAGAATTATTTGACGTTGCCACTGTGGTAGATACCGATGTTCCCGTTCCAGAAGAATTATTGTTTTGTCCTGTACTGGCTCTACCACTTCCAGGATTATCCGTCGACCTTCTTTGGGTTCGCATTTTTTCCTCACGACGCCATTTAGCCCGTCGGTTGGAGAACCAAACCTGCAGACATAAAATGATTGAAATTATATAAGTTGCTTAGGAAATTTTAAAATATTTTTACAGTTCCCGTACAACCTAATGAAACAAAAAAAAAAATAATAATAATAATAAAAAAAAGTTTCCTTTTACTTACAAACCATAGCATTCACTATTTAGTTTTAAATAATGACGACAAAATCATTTTACATTTTCGTTTTTTCTTACAGTTAAACCAAAATATTTTTAAGATTAAAAACCTCGGAAACTTCTTCAGATATGATACAGAATAAAGTATTTTAATTTTACTGTTGTGTTGAAATCTCTATCTGTTATTATTCTTGAGAAAAAAATTCTAATAATATATACATAAGTAATAAGGATGTACAATTTCTCATAGATCTATTTATTATTATTATTTACGAAAGAAAACAGCTTCCTTCCTTTACGAGTAACTTTAGTCATGCTGTCAAAAAATGAAATTAGAGGACACCCTTTATAATGCGGCTTTATACATTAAGCAAACTATTGAACTTCTAGCATAGGTTACCCAAAGGGGTGAAAAAACGGATTACAATATTTTTTACAATGACATTTATAGCTGAGCATTATTTTTGCCGTTCCCACTTCAGTTTGACAAGTTACCCCTGCAGCTTATATTTTCGATTCGCGCCCCCGTCATCAAGAATTCAAGGAGTATTTCAAGTATTTTTACAGTCAAATTGTTTTTATTCACTTTGTATAAATAATCAAGAGCCGTTACGTCGATAAAAACATTTTTGTAATGAACTTGTACAAACAGTTACTATATGGGGTTGAAGTGAATAATGATAAGTTTTTGAGGGATGACTTTTAAAGTGTAACGCTCTCCCCCGCGATGGTTTGCCAACATTTTTTTGTTGAAGTAAAGTTGCGTGACGCAAAGTTGCGAAATACATCACTCATACATATTTGAATTAACTATTTTTGTTTGATTCATTGTTGTATGAATTACTTTAAAAATAGATGATATTTGGCTTAGAGTCGATTTCTACCCTCACTGTCTGATAGTCTCCAGACAAACAGACGGACATGGCTAAAGCGAATTGGCTGTCGATGATGGTCAGTTCCGCGAAATGGTCATAAAATTTCCAACTGATTCTAACATCCTTGGCATGAGATTACGGTTTCCGGCCAACTCTTGCAAGCAAAAACAAAAAACTCATAAATATGTTAAATATTAAAATAGACATTAGACTTAACAAAATTAAAATTAATGTTAATAGCAAAACTAAGTAAACAATATTTATTTAGGAAAATTTCAAAATAACAAATCAAATTTAATTCGTACTTGGGATTAAAATTGTAGAACTACATGAAAATTGTACAAGAATTTTTATTCAAGCCCAAACAACCGAGGTCGTAGGGTCTTGGTATTCAAATATTTAAGAACAATCATAATTGAATCAAGAGTATTTGAGTTTCAAAAATCAAAGAATGGTTGGGATTAAATCAAGAATTTTTGGGAATACAATTTTTAAGATTAGCGGGATTAAATCAAGAATACTCGGAATTGAAAAAATTAAGTGTGTTCATACTGAAAATAAGCAAATCCGCACTTGGCCCGAAAGCACGCCTACTTGGGCGGCTTTAATTAAAAAATAATGTCCCGGATTTTTGTTTTTGTGTGTAGATTAACCAAAAATCGACTTCCATTTTGCGTATGTTCGCGACCGAATGTTTTTTTTGCCAATATTATGAAAACGAAAACTCAATAAACACCATCATTTACACCTAGGAAATAGCTAATATAATGATATAATGATAATCGAACAGCAACAAAAAATGTTCAGAAATCGTAATCAGTAATCTATATTCTTGTTTTTCTGCACTTATTGCGTACGAAAGTACGTTCGCGACCCCTGGAAATACTTATATACATACATTTATACTTAAGTTCTAAAAAAATTACCATATCCCAGAGTACATTAAAATATGTTTAACAAGAAAGGAAGCTAACTTTTGCACGCCGAAGTTTATATACCCTTGCAGATAGAACTTCGATGACTGGGAATCCATACAATATAAATTATATATATTTGTGTTAAAAAACTATAAAGTAATACCTGCTTTCATTTCATTCACCTATACATATTAAATTTTCAGTTTTACATTCACAGATTCTGTTGAGAACTGAAAATGTTATCGCCACCGCGATTGTCAGTCTTCCGACAACGGCCACCGCCATTCTCATTCCTCTCAAATTTCTCGATCGTTCCTATGGGAGCTATATGATATAGTCGTCAAATTTTCATAAAATTTTACACAAAATTGTAGAATAATATGAAATGGCTGTATGTATCTCAAATTTGATCAAATTCTGTTCAAAACTAAACATGTTATTTTTTCTTGTAAAAATTTTCCGATCATTCCTATGGCAGCTGTATGATATAGTCGTCCGATCTGGCCCGTTCAGACATACATATATATGAGTGAGAGTATATAGAAGGCTAACTGCAAAGTTTCATTCAGATAGCTTCAAAACTGAGAGACTAGTTTGCGTAGAAACGGACAGAAGGATAGACGGACAGACGGACATAGCTAGATCGACTCGGCTGTTGATCCTGATCAAGAATATATTTACTTTATATAATCGGAGGTGCCTCCTTCACTGCGTTGCAAACTTCTGACTGAAATTATAATACCCTGCAAGGGTATAAAAATTGCTACCATAAGGGGTCGGTGACTCCATCACTGCGTTGCAAAGAAAGTGTAATGACAGTAATGACAGTATATAAGTATCTTTTTATTAGGAAATCAAAACGATAAATGGAGAATATATGTAATAATATAAAAATATAGTTACTCTAAAAATCGGAGCTAAAAACAGAATATAATTGAACAAAACTGAAAGACAAACCTGAATACGTGCCTCTGGCAAACCAATTTTATCTGCAAGCCTTTCTCTGGCAAAAACATCCGGATAGTGAGTTCGTTCAAACTCTGTTGAATTATTTTAATAAAGGTTTTTTTTAAGGATGAAAAAATAGATGAAACGTTTTATTACAAATCTATAGTTCTTTTTAATCAATCGACAAGTGTTTTAATATATTTTATGTAGTTTGAAGTTACCTTTTTCCAGACTATCGATTTGTTCATTCGAAAACGATGTTCGATTTCGTTGCAATTTCCTTTTTAGTCTGAGTCGCATTTGCGAGTCTTCATCTCCCGAAGAATTGTGGTCAGAATTGCCGTCGGACGTACTATCATGCGAGTTTGGATGAGATACGTCCGCAGAATATTGTAAGTCTGAAGTAATCAAAAATATTGAAATTTAAGAAACTATAAATTCAAGAGTACGAAAAGTTTATCATTTTCTTGTTTGAGTACTAGTCATCAGAGCACGAGGCTATGAGTGGTTGAATTGGTAAGTATTTTTGATGCAGGGAAACAGTCTAGATTAAAGTAAATTATATAAACGGGAACAAAAGAGCGGTGGATGTTTTTATTGTCATTTACAATTGCACATATGCTAGACCAATTCATTGATTGAACAGAGAAACAAAAACTGCCCGAGAGGAAAGGAAACATATAAAGCCAAATAGCTTCATTCAATAAGATTTAATGGCAAATAACATAAATGACCAACAAATTAACTATTTGTTTTGTCCTGCTGTTTGATCATCTGTGATAAAATGCATAGATGTAAGATGCTAGCAACGAGACTACAGGGAAGTTTAAAATCTAAAGTTGTTTACATTTAACGTAACAATCCATACAAGGATATTTTGATGTTTGATCACTTTATTTAATTATTTTTTAATAAATTTTTTAAGTGTATTGTTTACATTTAACGTAACAATCCATACAAGGATATTTTGATGTTTGATCACTTTATTTAATTATTTTTTAATAAATTTTTTAAGTGTATTGTAATAAAATTATCATAGTTATATTGTTGATAAGCACTACAAATTAATTTAGCCATGTCCGTCTGTCTGTTCGTTCGTGTGAAATAACCCAATAATAATTTTAATATCTTGCCTCTTTTTTGGACATCGTCTCGATTAATTTGTCCAGATATATTTGTGGACGTTGATACTGAAACTGATGATGTCGCTGGTGGTAAAGCCAAATGTGCCGTCGTTGTATTACTTGGATACCAGGCCCATCCACCGGTCTGGCCATTAAACATTCGTAGCTTCTCATAAACTGATTCATTTTGTTGCTGCGCCTGCTGCTCCTTTTGAGAGGCTAAATTCCGCAAGACTCGATTTATAGATGAAACCTGTCAATTAATATTGCATGACAAATTTATTACTCAAAAATATATTATACATACAATATTTTGTTTCTTTATAACCTTGTAATGGGCATTATAAAGAGCAAAGAGCTTTAAATCGAACTTACAAAACTAAAGAACAGCGGTTTTCCAAATCATGCATGTATGTATGTATATGATGCCACAACTGCATAACCAACCCTCTATATTTATTGCTACGCAATTGGCTGCCGGCAATTTCAACCAATCAGAGAATCCGAAAGCGAGAGAGCTATATAGATGTAAAATAAACTTCTCTCGCCACCGTATCCACACATATTAAATACGTAATTGCAGTTGCGGTCAAGTTAATAGGTACTAAACTCAGGAAGGCAATTTTTTATGCCGTTGCAGCTTGCAATGGGAACGGAGCGATCTAATTGGTAATTAATCGATTTCAACCAAATGTAGAAATCCTTATAAAAAGTCAAGTTTAAGAAATGGTCGGCGCTTACATACGGTCACAGTCCATTGAAAAACATATATAATCATTAAGATATACAAAAAATGTTTAAAACTTAAACATTCTTACGGTACATTATAATTTTTTATATTCTCCATCAGCAAAAGCATAGTCGATCTAGCCATTCTAGTCTGTCAGCTACACTCATGAAATACCTAAAACCGCCATAAAAAAGGCAAGACTAATAAATTCGCCTTGAAAAGAATCTAAAGGCGAGTCTATCTAGATTTCAGACAAATTTACACTTAACTTAGGAAAGGAACTTTCTCAAGTTTTTCTTGAATGAAGATACATTTTTTACTTTCAGGGCTATTTGCCCCAAATTTTGAATTTTTGCAATTTGATCATTAATAAATAATAATATATGTATATTTGTTTTAAACAAGAAAGGAAGCTAACTTCGGCACGCCGAAGTTTATATATCCTTGCAGATAGAAATTCTATGACTAGGAATCCATACCATATAAATTATATATATTTGTGTTAAAAAAAATTTTATAAAAAATTTTATAAAATTTTATACAAAATTGTAGAATAATATGAAATGGCTATACCTCAAATTTGATCAAATTCTGTTGAAAACTGAAAATTTTATAATTTTTTTGTAAAAATTTTCCGATTTTTCCTATGGCAGCTATATGATATAGTCGTCCGATCTGGCCTGTTCCGACGAGTGAGAGTATATAGAAGGCTAACTGCAAAGTTTCATTCAGATAGCTTCAAAACTAAGAGACTAGTTTGCGTAGAAACAGACAGACGGACAGACGGACATGGCTAGATCGACTCGGCTGTTGATCCTGATCAAGAATATATATACTTTATATAGTCGGAGGTGCCTCCTTCAGTGCGTTGCAAGCTTCTGACTGAAATTATAATACCCTGCCAGGGTATAAACACAACGAAGTCATTCTTACATTCATTACTGGCCCCTTATATTTACAGTATTAAACTGGTACATTAACAGTTTGTCATAATCATTAATAACGATAATAATCATTATTAACGATAGTTTCAATGGCAGCTATATGAAATAGTCTCCTAATTTTCATAACATTCCAAATAAAATATAAATCATAAATTCTAAAATTATATAAAAAGCCTATATTTAAAATTTGAAGAACATTTGTAGTTATATGTTAGTTTCCTTTCTTGTTTTAAAAACATTTTCTTAGGGAATTAGGAAATTATTTTAAGTCAGATTTTCCCTTTTTTATACCCTGTGTATTTTGTGTAAAATTTTATGAAAATCGGACTACTATATCATATAGCTCCCATAGGAACGATCGAGAAATTAATACAAATAAAAATTATAACTTTTCCAGTTTACAACAGATTTTCATCAAATAAAAATATAAAATGGCTATATCTCAAATTTGATGAAAATCTGCTGAAAACGTTATTATTTTTATTTTGTATGGGAGATATATGATATAGTTCGACACATTTTACTTTAAGCAATTATGAAAAAACTAAGCAAACTATGAACAGTTATCTTTTCCTTTCCTCTTCTTTCTCTTTTTCTAAAGAAAATTTCAGGAAAATTGGTCAACAACAAGAACATCAATAACAACTAAAATAAGTTAGGATGTGAAAACATGTCGTTTTGTAAATACCTTTGACTACCTCTTTATATTCTTAATCAGCATCAAAACGGAGTCAAACTAGCCATCTCAGGCCGAAAAAATTGCATTATTTAAATATTTTTCATTTACCCAATTTTTAAATTTTAAATGACAATTAATACTTGTTTGGTTTATTCACGAGTATTCAGTATGCTCTAAAGCATAGATGGGCACGAAAATAACTGGCTGGGACAGACAACAAGTTTAACAACAACTAGCGTCGCAGCAGCACAAATGGCTTGCAAGTTTTAATTTTTTTTGTCTCGCCAAAAAAATACATGTATTTCGTTTTTGTGTTGTTTTTGTGCTAAGGTCTCTGCCGACAGGCTGTGTGAAAGTGGAAATCATAACAAAATGAGCCGGCCGAGCTCTGGGAGAAGAAAAACCTTTCAAAATTTAACAAAACATTTTATAAAAGTTGTTATAAGTTATAAAGTTGTTCTCATATTTAGGAAAACAATTTTTTATATTGAAATTGCCTTGGATTTGGATTTGTAGGGTTTTATAATTTTAGTCATAAGTTTGAAAATATATATTATTGATCAGACCCGCAGCCGATCGATCTAGGCGTATGTCCGTTTCAACGCAAACTAGGCTCTCAGTTTAAAAGCTATCTGAATGAAACTGAAGTTTCATACTAGTATATACATATATCGGAACGCGACGATAATAAAGCTACCATAGAAACAATCGAAAAAGTTTTAGAAAAAATCTTTTTCAGTTCTTATCATATTTGCATGTTATTAAAGATTTAGTCATTTAATATTATTTTAAAATTTTGGTTTATTATTTGTGAAAATCGACCGATAATAAAAACCTAGGAAGGTTCTCGAAATTAAAACCGCAAAAATTTTCACTTTGCTGTTTTCAAGATATTTTCATCTCCTGTGAGATATTGAGACTTTGTATTTTTTTTATTTTAATTACAGTCGAGTCCCGATAATTCGAAATGGCAAGGGGATCACTTTTTTTTACGAATTAGACGGGAATTCAATTTATCGAGATTTCTATTTAACGGGGCTCAAAAATGAAAGAGTCGAATAAACGGGGTTTTTAATTAAAATTAAATTAAATTAAAATTAAACAAACATTATAAGTATGTACATTCATTTGTACGTTTTTTCAAATTAAAGGAAAACAAAACAATAACATAAAATTATAGTAACAAAAAATTAAACAATTAAGCAGAAACATTAAATTATAAAAAACAAAAATTCAAGCTTTAAAATAATTGGTACTTTTTGATTGCTTGGTCACTTTCAGAATTGTTGGGCAAAACTTCTTCCAAAATTGGCTTGCATTATAAACTCCTTTTTTCTGTAGAATTGATGTTATTGTTGATGGAGCGACATCGAATTGTTTTGCCACCTCAATTTTCTTTGTTGCATTATCAATCGCCGAAATAATGCTTTGTTTTTGCGCGATTGATAACGTCTTTTGCGTACGTTTTTGTGACATTTTCACGGAACGATGTTACTCTCCGAAAAAAATCAGCAAACTAAAAGAAAACAGCAAGAGAAACACAAAATTCATAATGCATAGCGATATAAAGGCGACATAGCTGTCTGCAAAATCTAACGGTGCTTTATTTACAAAAAATTTCGCATCGCATTACGATTTATAAGAGGTTACGAAACAAAATTATGATTTATAAGACGTTCAATATTCATTGCGTTGCGCCAATAATACGAATTAACGAGGGGACCAAAATGTATGGAATTTTTACGAATTAACGAGTTTTTTTTCAAGGGGACAGAATTTTTTACGAATTATCGCGATTTTCAATTTAGCGGGGTACAAATTATCGGGATTCGACTATATTTGAAAATCGTAATACTGTACCATATCGATCTATGTTAACGATTTATATTATATTATATTATATTAGATATACAGCAAATGCAACACTGTAATTGTAAAACTGTAACAGTAAATATAATATGTATAATATACTGAAAGAAGGCAATACTTTTATGTTTCTTATACATAACAAAATATAAGTTATAATTTATCATATTATTAAAAATAAATTGAAATCTGCAAGAGTAAGTCACTTTCGGAGTGCCGCAGTAAGCTTTCTTTCTTGTTTATTTTTTAACACAATTAGCCGTTATCTTTGATCGCAACACTGGCAATAAAAAAGTAAAAAAAAAGCGGTCAAATTTTGTTTGCATGCTATTCGGACTCATGGGGTTTCTAGCATATATTCCGATCATACAATCAGACAGTGATCAGATCAGACAACTATGTATCGTATGACTGGCATAGAAGTTGAATATATACAGTATTATTATACAAACATTGAAATCATTGATTATTAACACGAATTGAGTTGTATCAAATTAAATTTATAATTTCAGTTTTCTGCATTTAATGTAGATACACACCGTCATCGTAAAAAACATTGAAAATGCCACTTTTGGCAGTTGACTTAAGTGCCGCCACGTGCAACGCAACTGCCGTGGCCCTAACATTTTTCTATGACGCTTTGTTCTTCATTAATGTACTGAACATTACTCGCCCTCATTAATTGTGTGGCCAACATCAAAGAACATCAAACAAAACTGAAAACGCAGCAAGTCGACATGTTTTAGCATTTGTTTTTTTTTTAAATATAGTGGATCCTTTTTCAAAATTTTTACAGATCTTCAAAAGGGTTTCTTGTTCCTTAAAATACAAGGTGTATTTACCCTTACAGGGTGTTACAATTTCCGTCAGAAGTTTGCAACGCAGTAAAGGAGTCATCTCCGACCATATAAAGTACATATATATATTCTTGATCAGCGTCAACAGCCGATTCTTTATAGTCATTTCCGTCTCTCAAAGGATTTTTTTAATTTAATTTGAGATATAGCAATTGGTATTATTCCTGAATTTCGGTTATAATTTTATGAAAACTGGGAGACTATATCATATACCTGCCAAAGAAACTATCGTTAAAGGAAAGCGCCAAACATTTATTGTAAAACTCTAACATTGAAACTGAAAACTGAAATATAAAACGTATAAGTGTCTGTAATGAAAGTATGTATTGTTTTATTGTTTTTTAACATAAATATATATAATTTATATAGTATTAATTATTAATGCCCGAATTGCAATCTGCAAACTTCGTGAAAAAGTTAGTTTCTTTTCTTGTTAAATAATTTACATATTTTCCTTTTTTTTAATGATCCACTGCCGCCTCTGCTTATTACAACCCTCCTTTATTTATAATCTCTCATTAGAAGAGGAACTCCCACTCGCTCTCTATCGTGATGGATTAGGTGAAAAGTGGGTTTGTTTACCTGGTCAACATATCATGAAAATGTTTTCACTTATCAATACCATCGAAAATGCAACTAGGGTACAGAAAGAAACGAGACGTATCTTTTTCTATAATCCGTTTTAAGTACGATGGATTGGTTTTTGTGTCGGAATTATTTAATCCCCTGTACGCGCCTGTATCCATTGGGCAAACTGTAAATATTTTTAACCACTTTCGAGAATGCTTAGATCTATTAAATTTTTTGAATTGTAATGGTCACTATGCTTGCGTTCAGCATAACAACATGGTCACTGATGAATTTATTACGATAGTTCTGCTGAACGGGTATGATTACTGATCATGATACGAAATATTTTCCATCATGATTACCAAAAAAGGATCGTAAAAATATTACGGTACATATTCGCAAAACTAATGGATAATATCGATGGGAATAAAAAACAAGAAAGGAAGCTAACTTCGGCACGCCAAAGTTTGGATAACTTTGCAGATTGCAGTTTGATCATTAAAAATAAATAAAATAATTCCTACTTTCATTACAGTCACCCATGTATATTTATTATATTCACAGTTCTATAGTTAGTTTTGAATTTTCCTCTATATCTAATGATCGTTCGATGGCAGCTATATGATATAGTCTCCCAATTTTCCTAAAATATAAAAGGGCTTTATCACAAATTTGAAGAAATTATGTTGAAAACTGAAAAAGTTATAATTTCTTATTGTATTAATTTTTCGAACAATCCTATGGCGGTTATATGACATAGTAGTCCGATTTTCATAACATTAAAGCAAAAATTCTATAATAATACAAAATAACCAAGTCTGAAATTGTATGAAAAACTGTTGAAAACTGGAAAAGATACAATTTTGTCGAAGAATTTTCTGATCGTTCCCATGCACTATGAATAACTCCAGTAACTTAAAGGATAGCGGCTTGAAACTTTATCAATCGTAACTTTATTCATATAGAATGATTCTTTATAAAAATAATTTGGATCAGAACTATATTGGATAGCTTTTATAGGAACTAAAGAACAATTTTTGAGATAAATTTATAAAACTTTGGTTACTTAAAAATACTGTTATTTTAAGTACATTTTTAATTATGTATCGAAGTCGGATAACAAGTTTTCCACTATAAACAAGTGAATAAGTATGAAATTCTATACAAATCCCAATAGGTCTCAAGGCCTCGTCCGCGAGAGTGGCGCCACTTCGGAATATTTTGGGTATGCCACGTTGATGGTACTAACATAAGATAAATCTGCCTGAAGAATGTATGACCAAAGAAATTAAAGAAAAGGTGCGACAATGGCACCACGGTCAGCTGAAGGCAGTTTTTTCTTATAAACAAACTGTATAAATAGATTTTAAAATAAATTCGATTAGATTGGATATTGGAACACTGCTTATTGTTGTATTCGCCGCTCAAAATCAGAATATTTCCGTATTTAAAATGTCTTTTTAGAATTATATCTCATTTACGGGCCTTGTCATTGCTTCATTAATTAATTCCAAACTTTTCTTGTCGCCTAGAAACCAATCCATGCGTGCAATTTCTATTTTTAAATTTCCCTCCATCTGGGCTTTAAAAATATATACAATTCATTATTTCACTTATTTTGATGCTTTATATAGCTGGAGATGACCTCTTCACTGGGTTGCAAATTTCTGACTAAAGTATATATGTATATTGTTGATCAGCATCGACAGCTGAGTCGATCTAGCCATTTCCGTCTATCCTTCTGTCCATTTCTACGCAAACTATTCTCTCAGTTTTAAAGCTATCTATTTGCAGTTTCTCTTCTATATACTCTCACTCGTATATAGGTCGGAACGGCCCGGATCGGACGACTACATCATATAGCTGCCATCAAAACGATCGGAACATTTTTAGAAAACAAATCTTAACGATTCCTGTTTTCCTGCCATGAAAACAATCTTTATATATAGAGGAAAATGCACATCTGTGAATGTGAAACAGTAAATATAAAATGTATGTTTATAAGTAATAATAAGCTCTATCCATTTACTGGTTGAAGCAAAAAATTAAAACGAAAACTTTTACAGGCTGGCATTTATGACCTTAGATTTTTACGATGTATCGATGTTTCACTTCGAAGCATTAAAAACCTGTTACATTTATACAAGCATGAATTTACTGTTTTTGTGATCCATATTTGTAAATTTAAAAACTTACACTTGGTATATTATCACTATTGCAAACTTGTTCCGATAGTAGACGATCCCGGATTTCCCACGCAAATATGCTTGGACACTCCCGTTTATAGTCAGCAATTTTTTGTACAACAGGAGTTGTGGCTACGCGTGGCTTTGACCCACCTATTGCTCGTGGCTTAATTGATCCAGTTTCATAGTATCTAAAAATAAACGAGGAAGCATTGTTATGTATTTGCTGTTAAGAAATTTTTTAATAGAAAAATAATATGTATATTTTTTTGTTATAATATATATTTTAATACAATTATTCTCGTTGTAATATAAATCACTGTATCCAATTACAAAAAGAAACGAACTAACTTTGGCACGCCGAAGTTTATATACCCTTGCAGACTGGGATTCGACCAATAATTAATTAATTAATATACGTTTTTGTTAAAAATCAAGGAAGTAATTCCTACTTTAATTAGAGGTGCTTATACTTATTATATTTACAGTTGTACAGTTACAGTTACAGTTTCTCTATCGTACCTATACCTGTACCAGCTATTTGATATAGTGGGCAGATTTTCATAAAATGAAAGTCGAAAATTGAAAATAATACAGAATGGCTATATTTCAAATTTGAGCTGTTAAAATCTCTTGAAAACAGAATAAGTTATAATTTTTTTCTAAAAATTTTCCGATCGTTCCCATAGCAGATATAGTATATAGTCGTTCGATCCGGCCCGTTCCGACATATGTACGAGTAAGAGTATATAGAACACTAACTACAAAGTTTCATTCAGATAGCTTCAAAACTGAGAGACTAGTTTGCGTAGAAACGGACTGACGGACAAACGGGCATAGCTAAATGGAATCGGCTGTTTATGCAAATCAAGAATATATATACATACATTATATGGTCGGTGATAACTCCATCATTTCGTTGCAAATAATACCCTAATGACCTGCAAAATCCATGGATTCCGAATCTTAAACCAAAATAATTGTAGGATTTTTTTTTAAAGATATGAGCATTTAAAGTTGAAAATTGTTTTTTATTTTGCAACATACAGAAAAAATGTAAATTAGTTGACTTTCAGGGGACATTACACAGAAAAACCTGTTGTTATGTTTTTTACTTTAAATGATATATACATTCATAAACTGTAAGCCAACCTAAAACCAAAAAGGAAGCTAACTTTGGCACCCCGAAGTTTATATACTATTTCAGATGGAACTTCGATCACTAGGAATTAATACAGTATAAACTATGTATATTTATGTTTAAAAAAACAATTGAGTAATGCCTGCTTTCATTACATTCAACTATACGTATTAAATTTACAGTTTTACATTGACAGATTTGCTTTTTTCCTCTACTTCTAACGATCGTTTGTATGGCACCTAAATGATAAATCGTCCGATTTCCATTAAAGTTGTCACAAATTTTAAGACATATACAATGGCTATATCTCAAATTTGATGGATGCACACTGAAACAACTCAGAGTAAAACAAGAAAGGAAGCTGACTTCGGCACTCCCAAGTTTATATACCCCTGCAGATAGAACTTCGATGACTAGCAATTAATACAATATTAATTATATATATTTATGTTAAAAAACAATGAAGTAATACCTGCTTTCATTTCATTCACTGATACATATTATATTTACAGTTTTACTTTCACAGATTTGCATTTTTCCTCTATATCTAACTTTCGTTTCGTTCGTTTGTATGGCACCTACATATGTATGTGATATAGTCGTTCGATTTTCATAAAATTTAACACAAAATTGTAGAACAATATGAAAAAACTATAATCTTAATACAATTAAAATATATAACTTGTTCAGTTTTCAACATATTTTCATCAAATTTGTTACATTGTTAAATGTATACGAAAACGCCAAACTGTTTTGTAAAACGTTAACTGTAAAACTGTAAATATAAAAGATTTAAGTGACTGTAATGAAAGTATGAAATGTTTAGTTGTTTTTTAACATAAATATATATAATTTGTATTGTATTAATTTCTAATGATCGAATTACAATCTGCAAGGGTATACAAACACAACACAGAATCCCGATTTCCAAATACAAATTTTGAAATTATACAAAAAGGCCTTGCTTCATCTCGGGTGTTTATGCTGATCAAGAATATATATACCTTATACGGTCGGAAATGACACTTTCACTGCATTGCAAACTTAGACTTAAGTAAATAAATAATTACGTTTTTCATTAACCAATTCAATTTAGTCTGCGCTCTCACCTGCCAAGAATTTTGCTAACACATCCATTGGAAACTTGTAAAATCCGTGAAATATCACATGGACGGGCACCCGAATGGGCCAACTCCACAATTTTTTGGCGCGTTGAATCGGGCAACGGTCGCCCGTTGACATAAACGCCGCCCAGTTGATTAATACCACTGTGACCCGCCGTCGAACACCCGAAGAGTGAACTCTGACCGACGGACGAATGCGGATGGTGGCCATGCATGATGTGTTCCGTCGTTAGCATCATGATTGATTAATATATGTGCAACAAAGTGGTTATGGAGGATAAGCTTCGATGATATTTAAAGCATATTCAATGCTCGTTTTTTAAGGGCGTTTTTCTGGTTGAATTTATTTTCGTGACAAATATTGTGTATTTTAGTCGTCACTACGGTTTGCACATTATTTAATTTTTTTTTTTAAATCCTGTTAAGATTTCGGCGGGAGGTTTATATCTTTAGTGATGTTAAGTCGGGAACAAACAATTACATTAACATTTTAAAAACTCTCGTGGCAAAGTATAAATAATAGTGTTAATAAATACATGGTCCCGAATAGTAACGAATCCTACCGCAATTTGCCGTAATTGCGACGGGTCGTCGCGGCGAGCCCTACGACCTAGTTTATTAATCTGCAAATAATTTGCATTCGAAATTATCAAACCCGTGACGTTTTAGTTTAAACAAAAATGTCTTATTTTACTAACAGGTTTTCCATCAGTTGACGAGGCGAGGCGCGCACTAAGCCAAGCGAAACGTTAATGAGCTCTCAAGCGAAAAAACACTGGCAAGAGCAGCAGCAATAGCAGTACATCGAGGAACTTCGCTTCAGTCAGCCATTTTGAGAGTCTTTACCTATACAGTTGTCTCTTTTCGTTGGCAGTTTTACAATGGTTGTGATTATGACTTGAAGTGAGATAGCTAGAGTGACACAGTACGGTATCGAGGCAATGACAAACATGCAGGACCAATAGAAATCAAGCAAGAGCAAGAAAGATATATTTTTTTTAAGGAAAGAAAAGGCCAACCTTTCTTTTTCAAGGGTATTGGTTGGTTAATAATAATAACACGAGGGTGGGGGGGGTAACTTTAACTTTATGAGTTTACAGTGATAATAACACGTAATTTCTATAAACATTCACAAAAATATACATACATAAATTCTTATTTATCCGTCTCCGTATGCATATGCTTGGTTATTTTTATACTTAATGCTGTATCAACTTTTTTTCCTAAATTTTTTGGTATTTGCTTATGTATATCTTAAAAATAATGTTTTAAACTTTTGGGGGCAACAAAAACAAAATCTGGGATCGTAAAATTTGGCCAACAGAAAGATGCACAACATATGAAATTCTTTATAAATAACCACTTTGTTTTGATATAAACTAAAAATAGATATTCCGTTTGTCAGTTCAGCTTTATCGTACATTTTTATACTTCAACATTGCAGAAAATAACGCTACCAAGTACAATTTCGATTATTTAAAGGCAACCCCTAAAAGTCTGCCAACTAAGCTTACGCGCACTCAACATCCTGTCCGACACGTTTTTGGGATTTTTGAAGTCACACGCACCATCGAATTCATTCGCTGCCTGCTCCACCCCAATTTTGTTCCTTATATTTTAGTGCGGCGGCATTCAATTTTGTTTAGATTCTTCAAAGGGAAACATTCCTGGGACGACTTTTTGTCATTCCAATTGCGTGTGCCAACAAATTTCACGGCGCCTCATGAGAGAGAAGGTGACGAATCTGATTTTGAAAGGAATGTATGAAAAGCGTTAATTTATTTTAGAATCTACATGATTGTGTGACGTGAACATTGTAGTGCACACCCTTTGCAGGTATTTAGTCTGAACTTGGCAACGCATTGAAGGAGTCATTTGCGTATATATGTATCTTTAAACACCATCAGCAGCCGATTTGTTCTAGCAGTGTTCGTTTGTCCCTTTCTATCGTTATGCTATCATTGTATATCAGAGTCAAGGAAAAAGTTAGTTGTCTTTACATACATATTTATATATTGTATGTACGCACGCGACAAAAGCATAAGTCACATTTACAAAAAACCAGTTCAAGCTCTGATTTTAGCGAAGCATGATAAACAATTTTATTGGAAATAATTTTAATGAATTATGCAATGAACTATCTGAATAAAGTATTTTGTTTGAATTTTAAATTAAAACTAACTACGTTTTTGAATTAAATTTTTGTCCTGGTCGACGCGACATTTTAGAATCGCATATGTCCTTTTGCATTTTATATTGACACTGCGTTATCTGTGTGATTTTAAAAACCAAAAATCAAAGCAAAATTTCTTTTTTTAAGAGATTGCGAGATATGGATTTTATATTTTAAACAAGAAAGGAAGCTAACTTCGGCACGCCGAAGTTTATATACCCTTTCAGATAGAACTTCGATGACTAGAGGAATCCATACAGCATAAATTATATATATTTATGTCAAAAAACAATGAAGTAAGTAGTAGTAGTTTAACATTCACAGATTTTCGTTTTTCCTCTACATCTAACGATCGTTTGTATGATTTTTATTAAATTTGAGACAAAATTTAAGACTAATATAAAATGGCTATACCTCAATTTTGATGAAAATCTCTTGAAAACTGAAAAAGTTATAAGTTTTGTATTGTATTAATTTCTCGCTCGTTCCTATGTACTAATTGTAGAATAATATAAAAATGCTATATCTCAAATTAGATGAAATCTGTTGAAAACTGAAAAAGTTAAAATTTTTAATTGTATTAATTTCTACATCGTTCCTATGCATAGGAGCTGTATTTTCATAAAATTTTACATAAAATTGAAGAACAATATAAGATGCCTATACTTCAAATTCTGTTAAAAAACTGAAAATGTTATACTTTTTTTTGTAAAAATTTTCCGATCATTCCTATGGCAGCTATATGATATAATTGTCGGATCCGGCCCGAGAGTATATAAAAGACCATCTACAGACGGACATGGGTAGATCGACTCGGCTGTTGATCCTGATCAAGAATATATATACTTTATTTTGTCGGAGGTGATTCCTTCACTGTCTTGCAAACTTCTGAATAAAATAACAATACCCTGCAAGGGTATAAAAATACAGAAACTGCAAAAACTCCCATGCAAAATGGTAGAGTTTTTAAACATGCACTCATAAAAATATTTTTCTACATTTAAGAAAAATCGCTTAGATTTGAGGAAGTTTCTTTCCCGATTCTAGGGCAAATTTTTCTTAAATTTAGGGCGACTCGCCTTTGGAGCCATTTTTAGGGCGAATTTCTAAATCTAAGGGCGAAAAGTGTTCTTTTTAGGGCGATTTCGGGTTAACATTTTTATGAGTGTGATAATTAAATAGCATTAGTTCTTCTCAAGCAGGGTTTTTAAATGAAGGAATTAAAACCGAGAAAATTATACACTAGCTGTGTATTTTAATTTGCAGTAATTTAATTTTGTAAATTACAAAATAATATGGCATTCCTAAAAAAGGAACAAAATCCTCCAATTTAAAGCTTTTATCATCTAAAACAATTTGAATTCATCCTATAAATTGAGAGTAATTAATTTAATTTACTGTCGAACATAAAAGTTACCTTTATATGTATAACCGCTAAGCAAGATATTTCTTGCCAGAAAACCCAGCGTCTTCGAATTCCAAACAAAGATTTTGGGCCTTTTAGAGGTCTCTGAAGATTAATTTGATACGTTTTCTTATCACATGTCACAATTTAGTTCCAGTCGACGATTTGAACAAGCTTGTCGTCAGTCGAGCCACAAAATCAAAAAGAACGGGAGATCAGCTGTTATTTTTCACAATACGGTGGTTACAATTCCAAAAATTAATGACACAAAATGAAACGCGGAAAGCGATGCTGTCAACAACACTTGTTCGATAGGGATTAGAGAAAACAATACAATAAGTGAGCTGTGGCACTGCAGAAAAAATTTGCCAGAGTATACAAAAGACTCTTAACACGAAACAAAATAAACAAAGCTGTTGGCGATAATTAAATAAAGTCAGGTACTTTGATACAGACACTTCTTCAACTTAACTTCAACCTGTTGAAAACCTATTTAAAACTAAGTTTGAATGCTGCGAAAGCAAATCTGACCCCTAATAAATATTATTCAAATAAAAATTCACTCAATCGCGATTTATCATTATTATTATGAAAAACATCATAAACAAGAAAGAAAGCTAGTTTCGTCATGCCGGGTATATCTTGCAGATTGCAAATCAACAATTAATATAATATTAATTACATACATATGTTTATGTTAGACAAGAAACCAAGGTAACGTAGGCATGTGAAGTTTTTATACCCTTGCAGATTGTTATTCGATCATTAATAATTAGAACAATATTCATTTAATATATTTATTTTAAAAAGAAAACATCGAAGTAATGCCTACCTTTATAGCATTCATCTATGTATATATATTACATTTACAGTTTTACAGTTACAGTTTTACATCCACAGTTTTCATTTTCCGTTACATCCTCCTCCAGCTCTATAATATAGTCTAACAATTTTTATAAAATAAAATCCGAAATTCTGAAATTTTAGAAAAGGAAAAGGAAAGGAGAAAAGTAGAAATATTTTGAAATACTCGATGTTTTATGTCTTATATATTTTTTTTAACTTAGCATGGTAATATAATTTTAGTTTTCTTTACTTTTACTTTACTCTACTTTTCCGACCTTATAAAGAAGGTATATAAAGAGGGCAAGCTTTATTTTGATTAAAAAAATCTAAAACAGAGGCATTTACTTTTGCTTTCTAACGTCACTTTCGAAGTGACACACGGAGAATACAAAGATTCTAAAGAAAACGCATATGTACATATGTACATATATGTATGCTCTTCTAAATTATTTAAAGTGTAAACAAGAAACATTAAATATAAATATTATTTATATATTTATGCTAAAAAAAATTATATTTCAGCTTTACATTTACAGTTTTGCATTTTTCTCTATATCTAACTATCGTTTATATGGCAGCTATATGATAAAGCCGTCCATAATCATTTTATAAAATTAAAAACGAAATTCTTTGGTATAATATATGAGGGCTATATCTAAAATTTGATAAGAGACTGCTGAAAACTAAAAAGTTATAATTTTTGTTGTAAACATTTTTCAATCGTTCCAGCTAGATGATATAGTCGTCTGATCCGGCCCGTTCCGATATATATATGCACGAGTGAGTATATAGAAGACTAACTGCAAAGTAGTAGCTTCAAAACTGAGACTAGTTTGCGTGGAAACGGACAGACGGATATGGCTAGATCGACTCGGCTGTTGATGCTGATCAAGAATATATATACTTTATATGGTCGGAGATGACTTCACTGCTTTGGAAACCTTTGAGGTAAATAATAATACCCTTTAAGGGTAGAAAAACAACATGAAAAGTATGACGGAAGAAAACACACATAAAACACGACAGTTAATTATTCAATTGGGAAAGAACTACGTTTTAATTTAAAGTGAAATCAAATATTATTATTATATTATTAGGATCGATTAAAATTAATTGCATTTAAATCTTTCATCACGTTTTAAAGCTTTCTTAACTCGTATATAAGTCGGTCTTATAAAACATATAAGTACATATGTACTTGCCAAAGCAATAATAAGTAAAATACAATGTAAAATATGTTATGTTGGTATATATCCCCCCGTAGGCTTCGAAAGTGACTATATAAACTGTCTAATGAAACTCTGGAAA